AAACAATACAAAGATGAATTGCAAGGACTGAATTACAATGTAAAAGAAAATGCATGCAGGTCACTCATTACACCCACTCCTGATACTACAGAACAAACACTGCACAGTGGCATTTGGTGTCCTCTTTCAATGTCACTACTAAAGTGGACATTTTTAGGCAACTCTCAGGAAATGACTGTCCTCAACTGAATTCCACTATTTGTATTATCCAGGCTTAACTGATCCTCCTCCAGAAAACGTTCTCCATTCTCACCACATTCGTCCAAGAACAACTGCTGCCCTACTAATCAGTTAAAAGAGCCCTTGAAATCTGCATTTATTTGTAATTGCTCGAAGTTCGGATTTTACTAAGACATCTCTCTGCACAACTTAGGCATGAGGGTGGGATTTAGAGAAACTAAAAAGCGCACACATGCTGCATCCCCACTGCAGACCAGCCTCGTCAGGAACTCCGCGCTCGGAGGCCACGCTTGTGCATTTACCAAAGTTCCTGCATTAACCTTATCACCTATAAACATCCAGAAGTCCATATCAATATTCGTAATTGAAAAAGCAAACAGGGGAGAAAAAATAAATCTTCCTTCTATTAGACATCCCAATTATTTTTGTAGATACTCCCTCTCCAGGAGGTGGAGCTTAATCCCTCTTTCCCCCATGGCTATGGGCTGAGTTTAGACATCTTCTTCCAAAGAACAAAATGTGGGAAAAGGGGAAAAGTTACTTTATAGTGAAGAAAGCTGGCAAACACTACCTAAGCTAAGCAGTCAAGGTTAACACAAGTAAGTCCTATTGCCGGCAGATACCCCTGATGCAATGTGATGAGAATGGTACCTCACTTCTGCGGTCATCGTCCCCAAAACCCATAACCCCAGTCTAACCAGAAAAAAAAACCAAAAAAAACTGAGATGCATGGTGCAAAATACCAAGTACCTGTGACTAGTACTTCTCGAAACTGGCATGAAAACTAACATTCCTCAGAAGAATCATAAATCATAAAAAATAAGAAAAGACTAAAAAACTGTCACAGATCAGAGAAGGACCAAGAAGACATGATGACTAAATGTACTGTGGTGTTCTGGATGGGATCCTGGCACAGAAAAAGGACATTAGCAGAAAAACCACTGAAATCCAAATGAGGTCCAGAGTTAGTTTAGCTAACAGCACTGTACCGGTGTTGGTTCCTTGGCTATAACAAATGTAGCCCAGTAATGTGAGATGCTCACAGTAGGGCAAACGGGGTGAAGGGCAAACAGGGACTCTCGGGGTTCTTTTTGCAACTTTATTGTAAATCTAAAACTATTCTAAAATTAAATGTTAAAAGAACAGAAAGGTTCTAACTTAGCAGGGACTTGTGATGTAATTAAATTCAGACGCCAGAAAGGAGAAAGACTGCGTACAGACTCAGCAGGAGAGGGAAAACTATCTATTTATTTTTCATAGGAGTTATTGGACACTTCCTTTTTAAAAACAGTGGTGTTACTGAAATATTGTGAATGAAGGGAGACCAGGGTAAAGGCTCAGGAAGCCCAAGGGAGAGGTCAGGGGCTGCCAAGCAGCAACCACAACGTCAGAGCCCAGAGCCAAACACACGGCCTGGCCTTGTCCCGTCAACACCTACTCTGCTCAGCACTGCGACCCACTGGAATTGAGCTCGGTAATGCAGAAGGAGACATTTTGATGTGTGAGGGGAGTTGTTATGGCCTAGAACTCTCCACATCCCAGATTAGCCAGAACTGTCCGGGGCATAAGCTGGATGTTGGCCAGGGTGCAGAGCCGAGCTACTCAGGGGGAAATTCAGCTGACTTTCTATTTGCGCTTTTCCGTGCACGAGCTCCACCACAGTGCGGTCCAGTATTCAACATACAGACTGCAGCATCGTTCTCCCTTTGGGGGATGGTGGTGCTGCTGACCCATAACTAAAAACTTCTTAGAAAAGATCATTACTCCCACCAATAACATGGATTTTAATAGGTTTCTATAGCTTAAATGACTATAAATGCTTGTAGAGGAAAACAGTAAATAAGAATTAAAAACTTAGCTTATATTTACTTCCATGTAATAAACTGATTATCACAAAAAGTTGATAATTTTAGAAAACCTTAGCTGATTTTATATCAATCCAGTGATAGAATGGGTATTATTTCTATCTTATAAAGAGAAAACATGAAGATCTGAAGTAATTCAGTGAATGGTTGAAGGGCACACAACTAGTAAGTAGCTGAGAGAGGTTCACGCATTTAGAAGCTGACTCATCTGGTGGCAGTTCTGGGCCTGATGCTGGTCACTCCGTGCTCCCAGCCTGCCTGGCACAGCCGGGTCCCTTTATAAGCTCAAAACTTCCAGCTTGAATGTGGTGAAGGTGGATTCTGGGACATTCTGAGGACAGTTTGTGCCTCTCACACTGTCTTCGTCATGTGTTGTCAAGTGATGGGAATTGGCCTTTTTTCAGCCACAGTTCCATAAAAAGCACTGAGTTCCAGGGGAAGTGGAGGAGGTTTCTTACATAACATTTTAATGCACGCAATGAAATGATATGGTGTTTGAGATTCTGAGCTTTGCTTTAAAAATATCCAGAAGGGATCAGTGGAGACAGAATACCAATAACATAAGAATGGCCGTACCTGTGTAGGAAATGGCACAAACACATGAAGGGCAGGAATTGCTTTTTAACACAAATGTAGAAATTTAAGTGATGTATTCACAAGGCTTCATTAGACAATTGCCCGTACTTTTATATGTTTGAAATTTTACAGAATAAAAAGTAAGTAAATTAGTAAACAAATAATCAGGCATCTAATTTTGAGGAACATAACTAATTACAATCGTTAGGGTAGCCTTACTTGTTTTAACATATAGCCCTTAAGAGGTCATCACTCAAACACAATAGAAGCCTATTTCTAACAAAATGGTTCAGAGGGGTGTCCCAGCCTGGAGGGGCAGAGGCTCTGCTGCATGAAGTCAGTCAGAGACTCAGCCAGACAGAGTTTCTGTCGTCTTCAACACCTGTCTTCTAAACTCACTCTGCTTATCCCCATCCTGGCCCATGAGGAGGAAGGAGCACAACGCCCATTGTCCTGAAAGCACAGTCCAGAAGGGCACACGGTACTTCTGCTGCACTCCATTAACTGGAGTTTAGTCACACAAAACACATGGCTACATGGGGTGGGCATTGTAACTCATAGCTGGATGGGCATAACGTGGTTACAGTGTTTGTGGAAGAAAGAAAAAACAAATTTTTGTGGAAAACTAGCTGCCTCTGCCACAATTTAGCTTAGCCATTAACATATACAGAGACCAATGTACCATAAAGCTTATGAAAGCTCAAACTTCTAGGCTTCTTCTCACTTGCATGGGCCTCTGCCATGGTCCTGTGAGGGACCTGTATTAGTTACCAATTTCCATATAGCAATTTACGCCAAAATTTATCAGTTTAAAACAATAACCTTATTATCTCAGTGTCTGAGTCTGGGGTCTGGGAGCAGCTTCTCTGGTGGTTCTGGTCGGACTATCTCACAGCAGCTATCTAACTGCTGGTGAGGCTGCAGTTATTTAAAGGCTTGACCAGAGTCAGAGGACCTACTTCCAGTATGACTCACTCATACGGCTGTGGGCTGGAGACTTCAGTTCATCAGCACATGGGCTTCCCCGCAGGGCTGCCTGAGGGTTTTCCAACATAGGAGCTGGGTTCCCCAGAGGGAAAGATCCAAGAGAGAGAAAGGCAAAAGTCCTAATGTCTTTTATAACCTAGCCTCTGAAGTGACACCACTTCTACTACACTCTATTGGTCTCATGGGCCAATCCCCATACAATGTGGGGGAAGACTCACACAAGGACATGAACACCAGGGGACAGGGACACTTGAGGGAAATCTGCATGATGGGAGGCTGGCCACTGCCAGAACTCAAAATACATTCCGATGTTTTTGTAGCATTTGCAAAAGTAAAATATTGTTACATTCTTTTTCTTGATGATCTCCCTCTCACAACTGTATAAACTTTTGGCCCCACAAAACATCAATCCTTTTCTTATATGACCTTGTTTGAAAGTTTTAAAAATTGTTTTAGAACTTGGTAAAACTATTCTACAAACCAAATTCATAGTAACTAAATGCTGAAGAGAAAAGAAGGTTTTTTTCAAAATGTGTGTTTTGATTACTGTTAATTTTATCTAGTTTGCGTAGTGTTGATTTATTTTCAGTGCTAGATGAGAGGTTAGGAAATCTGATTCCGATCCAGATTTCACCTCTAACAAAGTGGGTGACCTTTCTTTCCTAAGATGCGGCCTGCTTTCTGCGCTAGCTTCTTCATTCAGTACAGTGAGGGGTTACACTAACTAGTCTATACAGGTTTTTCATCCAGTTCTTTGAAAGTCTATGATTTACTATGTGTCTTTATGCTGCAAATTCCTTATCCCTAACATGGGGTTCACAGTCTCTACTTCATAAATCCGTCATGATGATTAAATGAGGTAGCCTACTTACAGAACCTAGAATACACCCGGCAAGCAGTGCACGCCACATAAATACCGGCCATTTGTATGATTTCATGCCTGAAAACTAACCTGCCTTAAGAAGCCTGTTTTGAATGCTTTTACACTACTACAATAATTTTAGTTTTCATTTCAGATGATTGTGAAATTTCATAAATTGGTAAAAGATACTATGAAATAATATTAAGGACGTGGAACAACTGTAACTTTCATACATTTATTGCTGAAAATATGAACTGGTGTAATGACTTCGATAAAACATTTGGTAATATATCCACTTAAGCTAAACTTAAGCATATCCTATGATAAAACAAATTCTCTCCTGGCTATACTCCCCAGTATAAATGAGGGCTTATGTCCACCCAAATGTACATATAAGAATATTTACAATAGCTTTATTCATAACAGCCCAAGCTTGAAACAAGCCAAATGTCTTTTGAGAATAAAATGGGTAAAGAACAATGTAGTCATACAATGAGATGAATACAGCAATGAAAAAGAATAAAACTCACCAACATGATGGTAAGTAAGAGAAGCCACTTCATTAGGTGGACTTCAAGGTCAGGGAACAAGTCTGTGGTGACCAGAGGACACCGACTGGAGGTGGGGTGAGGGAGCCCTCTGGGGTGCTGGAAATGTTCCACATATTGATCTAAGTAGAGGCTCCCCAGGTGAATGTATGCGCAAAAACATCCATCAAGCTTTAGATTTAAGAGTTTTACATGTTCTTTTAAGTTGTACTACAATAAAATACTTATGTTGGTAATGGTATTGAGAAACACGCTGCTTGTATCACCGGTATAGGCAAAGAGGTTTCAGCAACCACAATTTAGATTTAGGCAACTCTGTTGACAACCATGGTTGCTATGCAGTAATTAGTGAACAGTTAATTATTTATTACTCCCTTATCATATACCACCTTATTAATTATGTCAACTGTTCATTCGTTTCACAGATACTGAAGTGCTAGTACTCTGCTAGGTGGCAGGGCCATTAACAACGAACAAAATAGACATAGCACTTCCTTCCACAGAGTAGGGTACAATGGGGCAAGACAGAGAAGAAAATCAGGAGTTACAATTGCATGTCACAAATGTACTATGAGGACGTATAAGGTACTTCCTTGCTACTGGAGAACAAAGCAGACGCACCAACCCAGAAGGGAAAGACTTGCTGAAGAAACTAAAACCTAAGTTAAAATCAGTCTTTTTAGAGCATGTTGTTCCACAGTTCAAAGAAAGTAGGATATATTCTAGAACCTGAGAATATGCCCTATTCTCAACTTCAGTATGGCTGGACATGAAGTGTGCTGGAGAGGAAGCAGGGAGCGCAATAAATGATGCTACAGAAGCCAAGCATGGGAGGCCCTGCAAGCCCCGTGAAGGGGGTTGAGATGTTACTCTATGGGCAGGGAAAAGCCATGATCTGGCAAGTGTTCTGAATGTACTAGTCTATCTTCAGTGTAAAGAATGAACTAGAAGGAGGAAAGACTGGAAGAAGAGACTGGTTCGGAGGCTGTTGCGGTAAATAGTCTGGAGATGATGGTATCTAGAACTAGGGCAATAGAGATGAACTGAGAGATACTTGGGGAGCATAAACGGTGGGACTTAAAGATTGGTTGGCTAGACAAAGGAAAGTGAAGGTTGATACCCAGTTTCTGGTTTGAGCAATCCTGCACAGTGATGTCATTTACCAGGATAGGGAATAAAATGAAGAAGTTTGCTAGTCTGAGAGACATCGATGAGGTGAGAAGAGGAAGCTAATGAGTTCCATTTTGACAATCCTCTGTTTAAAGTGCTAATGAGCCACTGCAGTAGAAAAAATTTAGAATGCAATTGGTGTTTAGGAGAGGTAACTGTTCTGAAGAAATAAACTTCTTGGGAGTCAGAATTATACGAACATTAATGAAGGCTATGGGAGTATAAATATCTAAAATCACTTCTGAATAATATGTGGAGTAAAAAGAGAAGTAGATTTGGTAGAGAACAGTGAGGAATATTCACCTATGAATGATCAGCAGCAGAAAAAGAAGGTCCCTCAATGGATACTGAGGGAAAAGAAGGAAATCAGAAGATTTTGTATACTGAAGCTCAAAGAAGGGAGAGTTTTTGAAAGTGTTAGGTGGGCATCAGGGTCAAATGCTGCCAAGAAGTTACACTGGAAAAGTCTTGGTGCTCTGAACAAGAGCAGGGGCAGAGGAGGTACATGCTAAATTTCAGAGGTAAGTAAGAGTTATTGTGTCTGATTCTCAAACATCCATCCCCTCCCTGAAATTGGGAAATCCTATTCCCCTTGCAACTGATCAGTGTCGAAACATATTAGAGAACAAATTAGGTATCACAGAGTACACTCTCACTGGTGTAAGCAGAGAGGGATTTATTACAAGGTATTGGTTAGTTTACAGGATGACAGAAGGCTGAGGAACTGAGTTTGGTGGTTGTGCAGTCACTGACGACACAGCAGGAGAGAGGCCCAACCACATCATGGTTGTCAGAAGGAAGGGGTGTTTGGGGAGGGATGAAAAAGTAGAGGGAAATATGGACAATAATACTGTGATAAGTGCACGGTGACAGATGGTTACTAGACTTACTGTGGTGATCATCACATCATGAAGTGTGCATATATATGTCAAATCACTATGCTGTACACCTGAAACTATATAATATTATATGCCAACTATACTTAAGTAAAAATAAAATGACCACATATGAGAGGGACTGGATATGGAAAATGAAGAAATGATTTGGTGATAGTTTTGAAGGTGCGAATTATCATAGTTATGTGACTTTTTTTCCCTCCAGAAGTCTTCCTATAAGCCACTATAGAAGCAAAAGCCACCACAATGGACAGAGACAGCACGTGTACTGCGAGCGAAGATTATTCATTCACCTCTGTTTAAAAAGAATTACTAGCTCACAAAAATCAATTAACTGATAATTCCAGGTAAATGAGTGTTATTTTGAAATTATTAAATCTTTAGGAAAGGGATTCAACCCATTCCTACGTCCGTTTCTGTTCGCAGCTCGCTCATCCACTGAGCTACGCCAGCCAGGGCAGATATTAGATTTTTAATAGCAGCTTTTGTCTAAGGTATAAGAGTAATGTATAAAACTAAATTTTGAAATAAGTTTCATTTGGAATAATCATCTTTTTAAATCTGCAAATCAATTGATAACAATGGTAGCCTCTGGGAAGGGGAGTTGGGTGGCTGAAACACAAGAGTGGAGGGAGATTTACTTTTCACTACATACCCTTTTGAATTTATACCCGTACATAAAAATAACTATATAGTCCTTGATGTCTCCAGACTTACTGATACACAAGCACTTCCCTAAGGGACTGGGATCTGTGCAACTGTGGCCTTTCACCCAGTAGGTCCACACTTTACCAAATAACATGTATTGGTAATTTTCTAAGCCATTTCCCAACATCAGCTAAGGAAGAGGGATATTATCCAAAATCTATGTGGTAGGAATATGAATTAATTTTCTTCCCCTGAATTTTCCAAACTTCCTACAATGCACAGTAGTCAGGGAAAAAATATACCATCAACATTTTGTCATGTATTTAGTCATTCATTTATCCATGTATTCAGTCAATTTTATTGAGTACTCACGTGTGTATGTTTTCTAAAAACTGCTATATATTCTATATGTATTCTATATATTCTATACATATAAAACTGTGATATATTCTAGAAAATACAGAGCTAAAAAGAGGAAGCTGCCAATTGCCTCGATTTTTTTAAGTAGGGCAGAGTATAAATAAGGAGTGATCCCTGCCTTCCAAGTATTTACAGACAGATACATAAAAAAGTACCCAATAAAACAGAATGATGCAAAAGCTATCTGTAACAAGCATTGTGCTGTAAGAGTAAAGAAGAAACAATTTATCTTGGGTATGTCAAGAAAGCTTTCCCTGAAAAAAACTCATTTGAGCTTGGTTTTGACAAGGTGATTGGCATTTTAGAGAAGAAAGAAAAGCAAAAAAAAGTGTACTTCAAGTTTAGGAAACAGCATGGCAAAGGCATGAAAACATGAATAAGCATGACAAGTTTGGAAAAACGGTGATCACCCAGTGAGATAAGAATGCGGTGTCTATGAAAATGCTAACGGGAGCAGGGTGAAGGAAGGCATGGACTCATCATTTGCCTGAGGAGTGTACTGGGAAGTCGCTGAAAGTGCGTGATAAGAAAGAAACAAGTTCCATTCAAGTTTTAAGAAGATGTCATGTTTAGGCAATGTGAAAACATAAAAATCACCAGCTTTGAAGTTGAGCAGACCTAAATTTGAGTCTTATTTTATACTCACTAGCAGTGACATTGAACTTCTTTGTTTCTTGATCTCATCGTGTCAGAAAAGCTTGCAGGTTCGATCCCTGGTCAGGGCACCTATAAGAATCAACCAATGAATGCGCAAATGAGTAGAACAAGTCAGTGTCTCTCTCTTTCCTTCTCTCTCTGTCTCCCTCCACCTCTTCCTCTCTCTAAAAATCAATCAATAAACTTTTTCAAATTAGGAAATATTTAAAACATACTTAGAATATAATAAACCACCCCCGTACTTACTAGTTAAGGGATATTCATAATATGGTTCTTCTCCTTCGACATCAAGGAGAAAGCGGTGGAGGCAGGAGTCAGACAATCCCTGAGACACACTCCAGCCGTTTATGACTGAGAATCAGTCGTATCTGACGGCACAGTACTTAAACGTCTTCAGGTAAAGGTTCTTCATTTCTCCTTCACAGCACTTTAAAAGAGAAAGTTTTGAAAGGAATTACTTATTAACTTAAGAGAAAGAATGTTCTCTTTGGCTCATTAAGCAATATTAACAAATAACATTAAGATAACATAATAGTATCTGGAAAAGAAAGGAAAATTGCAATGTGCTATAATGAGAACTTTCAATGAGTGGGGCATAACAATTCATGGAGACTTTGCTTAAATGGAATCAGGCAGGAACACACAGTCTAGTCTTACAAGCCCCTCATAGCTCTATCAAAATCTGACGTTAGGGAAAGGTTCAGTCTTAGTACGGGCATGACCTCAAGTCTGTATGGTCCACTAAGCATGTGATTTCTCCCATGAGATGCCTCAAATATAAATGATAAAAATTAAGTGACTCCTTCAGGATTTTAGTGAACATGAATGCTTATGAGATAGGTTGAGAAATAAAGACACAGGGAGATCAGACAGGTTTGCACACTCACCAAGGGGCTGCTCCTGTAGCCAGGGTGATTCAAATTCACACCACATCCAATGTACAAGAATCACTCTTTCAGGCAGGTAGTAAATATAAAAATCTGTACATGCCAAGGATTGTTCATCTATTAAATCATAGCACCCACCACTGCTCTCTGCTTTGATCCACACCTTAGACCTCCTTGTATTTATGTGTGTATATATAATGTACCTTTTTAATCCAGAACGGTTTGGCCATATCAAGCTGAATTTTATGTGGATTACTTTATGTCTGTAATTTAACATGCTCGTGTAACTAGCTAAGCTGTACCGTCCAACACACTAGCCAACAGGCCCATACAGTTACTGAGCATGAGAAACGTGGCTAAGCTAAACTGAGATTTGCTGGGAACATAAAAAATGTGAGATTTTGAAAGTCAGTTTTTTTTTAATGGAAAATACCTCGTTCATTTTATTATATTAATTGCAGGTTAAATCATACTATTTTGGATATCATGTTTTTTTAGTAAAATATATTATTAAAATCAATTATACCTGCTTCTTTTACTTTTCAAATATAGCTCCTGGAAACGTTAAAAGTAAATACATGGTAAGCATTATATTTCTACTGGATGGCACTAAGCTAGAGCTTGTCCTATATATATGGCAATTTTTAGTATCGGGTACATTCCAATTCAAACATACTGCTGATATAATAATATACATGGTATGGAACCAAACATTCACACACCATTTGAGAAATGTCTTTAGAGTGTCCATTCTTAACAAATGACACTGTGTTACATTACATTGTGCTAGAATAGGAGTTGTCCTATTCATGAGAGAGACTTTATCAAGGAATAAGTAGCTACAACCCTATTTCTTTAAGACAAACACTGGTAAATCAGTTATAAAAGGAATTACTCAATATGTATAATATATTTGACCCCTGAGGGCAGAAGAAACAATTATGTAGATTCCTAAGGCAAAAGTCATAGTTGATTAGACATTTTGGCAGGTAAGTAATTACTTGCAGGAAGAGGAAGCTATGATATCTGTTTTCTCAAAAAGCTTTGACCAAATTCCATGCTGAAAGAAACTAATAAATGGGTGGGAAAAATGTGTCAGTAAAATATTTTAGTCAAGGATAGATGCATTTATTATCTATTGCTGCCTAACGCTATTCTATAAACTTAGTGACTCAAACCAACACACATTTCTGACCTTAGTTTTTGTGAGTTAGGTACTGCAGTGTAGCTGAGCTGGGTCCTCTGCAATCACAATGTTCACCAGAGCTGGATTTTTACCCAAGACTCAAGTGGGAAGGATCTGCTCACTTGCGGACTGAGATCCTCGCTGTCTTGCTTGGTTTCTTGGAAGGAGGCTTCCCTCAGTTCCTGGATACATAGTCCTCTCTTTAGGGATGCTCACAATACAACAGCTTCCTTCTTTAAAGGCAGTAAGAGAAGGTGTCTCAGCAAGACCTTCCCTAAAGGTCCCTGATGTTATAATCTTAGTAAGTAAACTCATCCATGTGACCAAGTACATCCCATCATCTTTGCTGTGTTCTTCTGATTAGAAGCAAGTCACAGGTCCCGCCCACACTCAAGAAAGGGGGAATGCACAAGGACAAAATACCAGGAGGTAGAGATCACGACCCCACCTTGAAGTCTGTCCTACATAATAGAGAACTGGCTTAGGGATAAAAACTAGGGGGGATGTCACAGTAAAAAACATTCTGTGTTAGGACTATTTTTGTTTACAGCTTTCAAATTATCTAAAAGAGATAAAAATAACAAAATTTCTGTTTTAAATAGAAATAAATTTCTAGATAATAAGATGTCATGACATTGGGAACAAGTAAAGACTGGTCAATGGACCAGTCTTTACAATGGACAAAAATTTAGAGCTTTTGCACTAAGATCAGGAACAAGATAAGGATGCCCACTTTCGCCACTCCTATTCAACATAGTATTGGAAGTCCTAACCACAGCAATCAGATAGGAAAAAGAAATAAAAGCCATCCAAATTGGAAAGGAGGAAGCAAAACTGTCATTGTTTGCAGATGACATGATAGTAAAAATAGAAAATCCTATAGACTCCACCAAAAAACTACTCAACCTAAGAAGCGAATTTGGCAAAACAGTGAGATAAAACGTCAATATTCAGAAATTAAAGGTATTTTTGAAATATCAGAAACAAAAATCAGGAAAAAAATCCCATTTTATATAGCAACAAGAAAAATAAAGTTCCTAGGAAAAAACCCAACCAAGGAGGTAAAAGACCCGTACTCAGAGAACGACAGGACACTGAAGAAATAAATCAAGGAAGACACAAACAAATGGAAGCATGTACCATGCTCATGGATTGGAATAATTAACATCATCAAAATGTCCACAATATACCCAAAGCAATTTATAAATTCAATGCAATCCCTATTAAAGTACTAATGACATACTTCACAGGTGTAGAAAAAACATTTCAGAAATTTATATGGAACCATAAACAACCCCAAATAGCTGCAGCAATTTTGAGGAAGAATAACAAAGTAGGAGGGATCACAATACCTGATATCAAACTGTATTACAAGGTAACTATAATCAAAACAGCCTGGTAACTGGCATAAAAACAGACACATAGACCAATGCAACAAAACAGAGAGCCCAGAAATAAACCCAAGTCTCTATGGTCAATTAATATTTTACAAAGGGGTAAGAAGTATAAAATGGAGCAAAAATAGCTTCTTTGACAAAGAGTATTGGGAGCTCTGGACAGGTATATCAAAAAAATAAAACTTGATCACCAACTTACACCATACACAAAAATAAATTTAAGGTGGATAAAAACTTAAATGTAAGTCATGACACCATAAAAGTCCTAGAAGAAAACAGTGGCAGGAAAATCTCAGACATTCCATGCAGCAATATCTTCACTGATATGTCCCCTAAAGCAAGGGACATACAGGAAAGCATAAACAAATGGGACCTCACCAAATTAAAAAGCTTCTGTATGGCTAAAGAAAACAGCATTAAAATGAAAAGAGAACCAACTAGATGGGGAAACATATTTGCCAATGACACCTTGGACAAGGGTTTGATCTTCAAAATATATAAAGAACTTACACAACTCCACTCTAGGAAGACAAAAAACCCAATTAAAAAATAGGCAAAAGATCTGAACAGATACTTCTTTAAGGAGGACATACAGAAGGCCCAGAGACACATGAAAAGATGCTCAGCATCCCTAGCCATCAGAGAAATGCAAATTAAAACCACAATGAGATGTTACCTCACACTAGTCAGAATGGCCATCATAAACATATCAACAAACAAGTGTTGCAGAGGATACAGAGAAAAGGGAACCCTAGTGCACTGCTAGTGGGAGTGCAGACCAGTGCAGCCACTGTGGAAAATAGTATGGAATTTCCTCTGAAAACTAAAAATAGATCTGCCTTTTGACCCAGCAATTCCACTGCTGGCATTTTACCCTAAGAACCCTGAAACACCAATCCAAAAGGACCTACATACCCCAATGTTCACAGCACAATTAACAATAGCCAAGTACTGGAAGCAACCCAAGTGCCCATCAATAAATGAGTAGGTAAAAAAACTATGGGGACTTCCGCCAAGATGGAGGCGTAGGTGGGAACACTTTTCGTCCTTGCACAACCAAATCTAAAAACAACAGAATTTTAACAACAATAAACACAACCAAACCACATAGAAAATCGAATATGGAGTCCGGAAACAACGGACCACTCATCTAAACCGGTGAGAGGGGCGAAACCAGCAGCGGAGCCAGATGGGTAAAAAAGAGCCGGGCAGTGCACAGGCAGCCAGGGGCGCGGATCCCAGGTGCGGGCTAGCTACGGCGGAACCCAGGGAAGAGGTGCTGCTGGCTGTCTGCAGTTGCTCAAGCATTTGCACGCAGATAAACCAGTGAAGAGGCGAGCATTGAGACAGATCTCGCAGGCCTCAGTGACTCGCACATTTGCGCGAGCAGTGAGGTGGACTGGGCAAGGGGAGAGGACTGCCATTGCTCCCTCTCTGACCCCACCCCCACATACAGTGTCACAAACCTGTGACCTGGGTGGCCCCACCCCGGTAAACACCAAGGCACCTCTCCCGTAGGCAGCAGGCACGAACAGATCAAAACATGGCTCAAGAACAACTCAGAGCCCCAGAGCTGATAAATCTAAGTGATGAAGAAATAGCCAAACTTTCAGGTGCACAGTTCAAAACACTGGTGATCAGGATGCTCACAGAACTGGTTGATTTTAGTCACAAATTAGAGGAATATATGAAGGCTAAACTAATTGAAATGAAGGGAAATGCACAGGAAACCAATAGTAATGTAAAGGAAACTGGGACTCAAATCAAAGGAGTGGACCAGAAAGAGGAAAAAAATGACCAAACAGAAAAGGATGAAGAAACAAAAATTCAAAAAAATGAGGAGAGGCTTAGGAACCTCCAGGACATCTTTAAATGTCCCAACATCTGAATTATGGAGGTACCAGAAGGGGAAGAGGAACAGCCATGAGTGGAACACTTACTTGAACAAATAATAAAG